CTTTACCTTGAGCAGACACTGGGGTTTTGATACTGAACAGTATTGAAAAGGGAGCTCTGGTAGTGTAGTGGCTAAGGCACTTGACTGCTAACCAGAAGGCTGGCGGTTCAAACCCACCAGCCGCTCCCCGAAAGGAAGATGGGGCAATCTACTTCCGTAGTGATTGTTGTTGTTGTTGTTGTTATGTGCCGTCGAGTCGGCCCCGACTCATAGCGACCCCTCCTTGGGTTTCCGAGGCAGTATCACTACGGAAGTAGGATTGCCCAACCTTCCTTCCGAGGAGTGGCTGGTGGGTTTGAACCGCCAGCCGTCTGGTTAGCAGGCAAGTGTCTTAGCCACTATGCTACCGGAGCTCCCAAGCAGTGATACTGCCCTGGAAACCCAAGGAGGGGTCGCTATGGGTCGGGTCTGACTCAAGGGCACATGACAACAACAGTATTGAAAAATTCAAAATAATGTTGTCATGTCCCTACCACAATTCTCTACATCAGTGAGCCATCTGGAAACTTAGAACGGTTCTCCCTTGTTCCTTTTCTTTCTTTCTTTCCTTTCTCTTAAGTGGCTGACAACAAACTTTCTAACTAGATGCTCTCCAAGTTGGTTTGAGTTTTTATGAATCACTCTAAGCTAAGTCACATGTCTAGTAGAAGAAAGAATATTTGACTAGAAATCAGAAGAGGTGGGTAATGGTTGAAGTGTCTGTGCTAACTAGCTGTGGGATCCAGGGGAACCACTTCATCATTCTGGGTCTGCTCCTACTTTTATTAAATGAGAGTGATGAACTTATGTTCTCCAACGTTCAACCTTGCTCTAAACTTTTACAATTCTTCTTGTATCCTGCCCCACCTCTATGTGCTTCTTGTGAGGAAGTGGCATGAAAGCTTTTAGCTAAGCTTAACAAATGCTTTTAAGTTTTTTTTTTTTTTTAAAAACAGAATACTTCCTTAAAAAAAAAAAAAAAGGCACACTTCATCAATTCAGAGGGTGGCTTTGAAATAAATTCTTGCTGAAAACAGTTTTCTAAGTATGGAGTCCCTGAAATTTAGAAAATAAGCAGATTTAATTGAGTTTTCTGAATCTCAGCATCATTGAATGGTACAAATTTATCAGACTCTTTCCTGGAGTGCTCTCTGGTTTAGTGGTGAAGCTAGTTAACAGATAAGCAATATATAATGAAACATTTCTATTTTTCCTGGATTGTACTATAACTGCCTGCCCTCTATCATAACTCCCCTTCCCAATTAATAGCTGCAAATTATTTTTCACACAATATAGCAAATACCAAGAACAACATAAGTATTGCTTACAATTTCACCATCCCAGATACCACTGTTAATCATTCTGTGATGCAGGCTTCTCTCTGTTCATAATATGTTGTTGTTGTTGTTTGCCGTTGAGTTGGCCCTGACTCATAGCGACCCCTCCTTGGGTTTCCGAGGCAGTATCACTACGGAAGTAGGACTGCCCAACCTTCCTTCCGAGGAGTGGCTGGTGGGTTTGAACCGCCAGCCTTCTGGTGAGCAGTCAAGTGCCTTAGGCACTATGCTACCAGAGCTCCTGTTCATAATATAAACCTACTTAAATACATGTTGTTAGGGACTGAATTGTGTCCCCCCAAAACTGTGTTGTAAATCTGAATCCCTACATCTGTGGATGTAATACCATTTGGGAGTAGGGTTTTCTTTGTTATGCTAATAAGGTACAGTGTGTGGCATGTCTTAAACCAATCACTATTGGGATATTAAAAGAGCAGACACAGGTACAGAAGCAAGCAAGCCCAGATGAGGGAAGACAGATGTTATGCCACATGAAGACAGATGCCATGCCGTACAAAGACAGATGCCATGCCACACGAAGACTGCCAAGGAACCGAGGAAGAGAAGCTGAAGAGACAAGGACCTTCCCCGAGAGCCAACAGAGACAGAAAGCCTTCCCCTGAGATCAGGGCCCTGAATTTGGACTCATAGCATCTCATCATGAGAAAATAAACTTCTGTTCATTAAGGCCACCCACTTCTGGTACTTCTGCTATAGCAGCACTAGATAACTAAGATACGTGCATCCATTTTATGTAAATGATGGGGTTATTTCACATAAACAATTCTTTCTTATACTAATATAAGTTATATTGTCATAAAAGTAAATGCATCAATTATAAGTGTTTATTGTGATGGATTTTGTACACATACACCTGTTACCATCACCCAGATCAATATATAGAATTTTCCATCACCTCAGAAAAGTTCAGTTGTACTTTTCCTTAGGCAATCATCACTATTCTGATGTTTTTAAGACTATAGATTAGTTTTGCCTGTTCTTGAAAATTAAAGCATACAGTGTGTAGTCATTTGTAACTAATTTTTTATATGCTATTCAGATTTCATATGTGACTTCAAATGTCTGATTTGTTATCCTGATGAGTAGCTTTCCACTGAGATGAATATATTAGCTTCTCTATTTATTATCTTTTTGATGGATGCTTGGGTTAGAACCAGTTTTTGGCTATCTGAAAACAGCTCTGAATTCTACTGTTAGTATAAGAGTATATACATTTGTATAAGAAAACGTGCTAAAGATTGTACCATCTACATGAAGTAAGAACAAAATCTGATTGCCTATTGACAGAAAAATGAATACATGAATTGGAATAAATAAACTGAATACTATATAACAATGAAAATAAGGTACAAATATACACAATGTGGATGAATTTGAAAAACATAATATTCAGCAAAAGCACAAAGCAAATCACAGAATACGAAGAGAATGATACCAGTCATAGAAATCCAAGAATCTTGTCATTTGTACCATACAACATTTAGGGATATGTATGTGTACAACATAACCTTGAAAACAAGAAAATGATAACCACAAAACTTAGGAAAGTCGTTACTTTTTTAAGGAAGGGATATATAGGATGTATAACTTTATTAACAGTATTCTAGGCCTAATGCTGGGTATTTAATATATATTTGTTACTAAACTCTTTGCTATGTTCTGCATGTCTGAATTATATATCATGATACAATTTTTAAACAATGCTTTATTATTTGAGGATTTGAGATAAGGAAGTTTGCTTAAATTTATTAATCCACACTCATGTAAACAAAAATTCTCTAAATTAAGAAATACTGGTGGGATTTTCTATAATTTCCTCTATTTTCTGTAGACGTTCACCACCTTCTAAGGTCCACTGTGGTGGTTATGTTTGTGCGTCAACTTGGCTGGGCCTGATTGAGTGGCTGGGCAGCTGGTGGTAGTTATTCCACCAGCTGGAATATGATGATGAGATAAGACTGGCGATCAACTCCATGGTGGGATCTACCACAAGAAGCTGAGTAGCTGCCTTTGGGACGTGGTCTGCTTCCTGTATATAAGGAGGAACCTTGGGAATGTTCTCTAGTTTATGGCACGCTTGGACCCTGGATGTAGCCGTGTCATTGCTCAGCAGCCTGCTATGCTCTGTCGACCTTGGGACTTACAATGGACTTAAGTTAATGGCCTGCCGTGTTGTTTGGTAACATTAGGAATGTGCCTTTTTACTTGTCAACCTTGGGCTTGGCAACCTCAGCAGCCAGCAGCTGTCTGAGTGAAGAAAATCCTCTAGCTCCAATGGGCTGGGAGCTGGAGGCAGAGGTGAAGCCCAAGGCTGAGGGGCTTTCACCTAGCCCTTAGAGCCTGGCACTTTGAACTTGGACTTAGAGCCTCCAAATTATAAGAATAAACTCCTGTTTGTTAAGGCCATCTCATTTGTGGTATATTCTTGTCAGAGCAGCACTAGGTAACCACAACATACACCCTTTCTGATTCAATGTAATTAATATGGATCAAATGCCAACTCTGCTCCATACATTGTACTTGGCACGTGAGATATGTCAGATATACAAACAACAAAGTTTATGCCCTCAATGAATTTTCTAACTTAAATAGGTAAAATTTCTGCTAAACTAGAAGGCAGTGTTCTGGTTAATGATCTGAACAAGGAGGGCATGCTGTGTTGAGCAACAAGAAAGGGATATATCAGATGACTACAGCTAAGTCAAGTAGATGCTGTTGTTATGTGCTGTGGAGTTGGCCCCGACTCACAGCGACCCCTCCTTGGGTTTCCAAGGCAGTATCACTATGGAAGTAGATTGCCCAACCTTCCTTCCGAGGAGTGGCTGGTGGGTTTGAACCACCAGCCTTCTGGTTAGCAGTCAAGTGCCTTAGGCACTATGCTACCAGAGTTCCTAGTCAAGTAGATAAGGCCCCCAAAATGGAGAGACATTGAGGGAGGTTTTCTCTGGGCAAAATGCATCAGGGAATAAAGACTGAAAGGATTCAGAAGAGAGCGTGGTCAAGGAAAGAACTGTCATAAAGGGTTGCAAGTATGACTATTTTGAGCTGAAATCAAGGGCACAGTCAAGTGTGAGCCGGTTAGCAAGGAAGTAAAACAGAAAAGCAACTAATAATAATTTTACTAAACTTAAGTCAAGATGAAAAGAAAATTAATAGCATATAAAAAATAAACCAATACAGAAGAGGGATTATGCAAGGACAAAGAAATGACTGTAGTCTAAAGAGAAGGAACTGCTCCCTTTCCCCCAACCCAAATCACTGGGTGGCAAGTAACTAAAAGTCACTGTTCAGTCTTTGGTATCTTGACCAGTTTATCACAGAGGACCCTTCAGTGTGGGCAGGAGATGACATGTAGAGAATGACAGGGTGCCAGAGATGGAAAAGGGGTTTAGAAACATGAGTAGCCCAGAGCCAGATGGACTGGTTTTGCTTTAATGGCCCTGGAAGGTGAGGCCAGAGTAGCAAAATGGGTATCAGGAGCACTATGTGTTTCCTGATCAAGTGGAATAAATGGTCCAATAGGGGAAATGTAGGCTTCACTCTGCACTGAGTTTCCCAACTATGATAAATGTTTGAAAACAAATGTTAGGGGAAAACATGCAACTGTATCTCATTTAACTGAAAAATCAATTTATTGACATACAGACCAACTGGACCAAACAGTGTTAACAGAATCCTTTAGTCTTCAGGACATAGGCAATGCCCTAGACAGGCATCAACTTAAGAGCTCTGCTGCCAACCAGGAGGGCCCCAAACACAAACTTAGTATAGAGGGTAAGAGTCTTCACATCTTCCGGTGAAGGCAAAGCCATTTGTTTGGCACTTCATAGGAGGATCTTTCCACCAGATCTTCATCATATGGTATATGCCATGAGTCTCCAGTTGTTTGCACCACTGTGTCATAGCTGAGAATATGCTGTTGAATTAAAAAGGGAACCAGACATTGAGAATAATAACACCATTGGGTTACCTGGCCATTTCCCTTTCTCTTCTGTCAACTTCTCCTTTACTTCAGAGGCGTATTTCCTCACTTACTTTGTAACGGATTTTAAAGAGCATTAGCTCTGCAAAGATGAACCCTAGTATTAAAAGTTCCTTCTTTTTTGTTTCATTTTTAAAGTTAAGGTCTCTTTAGAGGAGCATTGCATTTATAGGATGCAGAATTCCTTTTGTTGCCTTCATTGATTTTGTGTGTGTGAGAAAAAAACATACAGAGAAAAATTTCAAATATATGAAAGTAGAGAAACAGCCACAAAGTCACACAAAACGAAATGGCTAAAAAAAAAAAAAAAAAGTAGAGAAACAGTATAATGAACTCGCATGTACTCATCCAGCTTCAACCATTATAAACTCACGGTTAATCTTATTTACTACCCACTTCCTTACCCCTTCCCACAGCCAAGAATATTTTGAAGCAAATCCCAGGTATTGTATCATTTCTTTTACAAATACTTATAAACACTTTTATAAGTATTTCTAAAAGATAAGGACTCTTATTTTTAAATGTAACATCAATACTATTATTACATTTAAAAATTTATGATAATTCCGTAACAACATAAATTTCTACTCTTTACATTTCATCTTTTATTATGTGTGTATATATTTTACAGTTTGCTTGAATCAGAATTGAAATAAAGTTATTACATTGTGACTGACTGAAATATTTCTTCATTTTCTTTCACTCTAGGGATTTCCTTTTAACAACTATTTTTCTTTCAATTTTTTTGGTTGCTGTTGAAGAAACCATGTCAGTTATCCTGTTTCCCACAGTCTTTCCTGCCCTAATTTTACTGAGTGCATCCCTGGGGTATCATTTGGTACCATATTTCCTATAAATCTGTTGCATATTTTTTGACCACTGAACCATATATTAACAGGGGCCATTGTATTTTTCTGTACTAACTTGCCTCTGGATTTTCTTCCTTTGCTCTCACACAAGAGACATCTTTGTGGTGCCTGCTAACCAAAAGGTGACTGTTCAAACCCACAAGCCACTCCACAGGAGAAAGATGTAGCAGTTTGCTTCCATAAAGATTACAGCCTTGGAAACCCTATGGGGCAGTTCTACTCCACTGTATAGTGTCACCACGGGTTGGAATAAACTCAGTGGAAAATGGGCTTGATTTAAACTAGAATATGAGTAGGAATCAATAGCAACAAGTTTAAACAAAAATGAAGGCACTCCGGTGGCCACTTTATAACCAAAAGGTTGGTGGTTCAAACCCACTAGCTGCTCTCTGGGAGAAAGACCTGGTGACCTGCTTTTGTAAAGATTACAGTCTAGGAAACCTTATGGGTTTCCCTATATGGGTGTCATATAGGATTGCTGCTATAAGTTGGAATTGTCTCAATGGCACAAAAAAACAACAGAATAAAGGAGCCCTGGTTACACAATGGTTAAGCACCCAGCTGTAAACCAAAAAGGCCAGCAGTTCAAATCCTCTAGCCATTCCACAGAAGAAAAGACCTGGTGATATTTTCCATAAGATAACAGCCTAGGAAACCCTATGGGGCAGTTCTACTCTGTCATATATGGTCACCATGAGTCAGAGTCAATTCAATGGCAATAACAACAAACTGAAATCAAAAGAGAACTCAACTGAGACCCATGCAGCAGAACTGGATTAAACAGGGAAAAGGAGTTACTTAGGAAAGTAGAAATATGACAAACAATCAAGGATAAGCAATTATGAGCTACTGAACATAAACTGGGAAATAAAAACCACATATGGGAAGTCATGTGACTGATGACATAATTGAAATCACAATTAATGACATTCCAGATGTTTTCAATATGCCAATTCATCTGGGGTTTGCCTATGAAAACTTTTGACATGGCAGAGACTCTGTTTCTAGGAACTGCCTATTTCCAAATACCAAACTAAAATCAAGGAAAAAAAAACATTCAGAATCTTCGTTTAGCTTTAGCATTATTTTACTATGCCACATTCTTACTATTACTTTACTCTGTGGACATTATGCAGAGAACAGATAACATACCTGAAAGGTTATTTTTGATCCTAGAAACCTATTAATAATTGCCAGCTGATGTCCTTGCTGCCATTTAAAGAACAGGCGTTGGGTCTTGGCATCAGGCAGACAAGCTTTGTGGTCCCGCATCAGGTCTTTTGTGATAAACTTGCAGTGGTTCCCCGAGTGCAGTGTGGCATACAGAAGGAATGGATCATCCTCCGAGCTGAGGCAGGCACAGAGAAAGGACACAATCAAGCAAAGCCCTGAGGAGGCAGAGAAGTGTTTTTGTCCATGCCTTTTATTCTCCTATTTAATCCAGAGGTGCTCTCAATGCTTGACAGACATGATTGGAGCGATATTTATGACTCATTTGGAAATCCCTAGTGGGTAGGCCATACTGTCTAGAACACAGATGGAATGCTGATGGGAGGGAATGCTAATGGATGGTGCTCTAACACTCAACTGGGTTTGCCGCTGCAATGAAGGATTCTAACAATTCTCTCTTCACATTCAAAAGTTAGTTCTCTGTGTTCCTAGGGAAATTTTCATATTTACCACATCCACTGCAGAGCACATCTTTCTTCCCCTTCCCTCACCCAAAAATAAAAAAAATTATATATATGTATGTATGTATGTATGTATCTCCAAAATACTACTAAGGCAGATGATACTTTCTTGGCAAGCCATATTTTAACAGGAGCCAGTGTATTTTTCTGTAAAAACTTGCCTTTGGATTTTCTTCCTTTGCTCTCACACAAGAGGGATCCTTGTGGTGGTCGCTAACCAGAAAGATGGCAGTGAACCCACCAGCTACTCCACAGGAGAAAGCTGTGCAATCTGCTTCTGTAAAGATTACAGCCTTAGAAACCCTATGGGGCAGTTCTACTCTGTCCTACAGGGATGCTATGCATTGGAATTGATTCGATGGCAATGTGTATTTGTATGTATTATCTAATACCCATAACAATCCCATGGGGATTATTGTATGAAGAAATGGAGACATCATCCCAGATAGGAAGTGGCAGTGATCTGAACCTGGATAGACTAATTTCCAAGCCTGTTCTCCCAGTATCAATCCAATGTTGCCTAAAGTGATTTGAGAAAAAGCGTTCCTATTGCATTCTACTCTTAGAGAAATGAAAGCACCCCTCCCCTGAATAAATAAAATAAAAAGACATAGCTAACTCAACGGCAGACAACAACAACAACAACAACAACATAAAGTGAAAAAAAGGACCTGGTTTGGAGTCTGGATGAAGGATTAGCTTCTTGTTTCATGCATGAAAGCCATTTTACCTTTTAACAATAAATGATTTGGGGAATGCTTACAAATCGTGAAGTTATCACATTCAAACTAATGAAAACTAGACTTGGGGTATGAGGCACACACACTATCTGTGCAGAGTTGGAAACAAGCTTTTCTCAGCATAAACAATATGAAAAACTAAATGCATGTTAAAAGTTGATCTGTGTTGTTGATATCTGTGTGCTCCTCCTGACTAGCTTTATTTAAACAAAATTTTATGGACACTAAATTTGTTATTAACCATGTTTTCCATGTTCCTTTGGTTTCCAGGGAAGTTCAGGGTCAAATATGTAGCTCACAGCAACTTTCTCTTTATGTTGAGAATAAAATCCAGGCCCCTTGCCTGCTTAGAAGGCCCATGAGGTGCTCTGTAATAAGGTTCCTGCCTTCTCTCTATGAGCTCTGGTGGTTTAGTGCCTAAGGCATGTGACTGCTAACTAGAAGGCTGGCAGTTCAAACGCACCAGGCACTCCTTGGAAGGAAGTTTGGGCAATCTACTTCTGTAGTGATACTGCATTGGAAACCCAAGGAGGGGTCGTTATGAGTCGGATCCAACTTGAGGGCAGTGAGTTTGGTTTTTTGGTTTGCCCTTCTCTGACTTCACATCGTACTGCTCTCCTCTTCTTACAGCTACACCTTATTCACACTGGCTTTCTTCCTGTTCCTCAAATGTGCCAAGATCACTCCTGCCTCAAGGCTTTTTGAACACTGCTATTCCCTCTACCTGGGATGTCTTCCCCTCCCATTCTCTCAAATGGCTCACTCTATCCCATCAGCATCATCTTTCCTGATTGCTCTATCCACTACCATCTGACCCACCCCCTACAAAATCCCTCCTTTTCTACTTCCTCTGCTTTATTGTCTTCCTAGCACTGATCACTGTCTGAAATTACATTAACTATTTATTTACCTTTTTACCGTAAGTCCCAAGAGGGTAGAGACTTTGTCTTGTTCACGACTGTTTCTCCAGAACACAGAAGGTTTGATGAATTCATTTGATGACTGATTGATTTAGGAATCTATGGCATGCATTCTGTTTACTAATCTCATGTCTAACTTTATCTTCCTCCCATTTCTGCTTTTCTCTGGTTTCTTCATCTATTTGAGTTTATCCTGCTATAGAAGCTATATTTCTGTAAGTTGCCTCAAGTCTTTTCTTTGGAATGAGGTTGGATATACACACACACACACACACACACACACACACATATACACACACACATGCATTTTTTAAATACCCAAAATAACCAACTAGCAGATGACTGGATCCTAGTGTAATTTACCTTCCATACTTACATATTGTCAGCAAAGAAACAGCTTGCTTGCTTTTGCACTTTTTCCATCTCATCCTTTTTCCACCGGGAACACTGCCTGAGCATGTGCTTCCGGCCTAGGACCAGCAGTCGCAGATTCTGTCTGGCTAGCTGAGAGACCACATCTAAGAGCTAAAAAACACAAGGACAGCATCCAAGAAGGTCAAGGGAAAAATTCCAAATAAGTGGTACAATTCTTCGAGCTGCTAAAGTCATTGGTAAAGTGCTCTTTTCTGGTAAAGGGTAAGAAAAAAATTCCTTAAAATAACTTTCCATCTTTGTAAGCCTGAGGAAAATGCTTCCTTATTAAAAATTAATGTTTAACATCTGACCACTGATTAGGCTACATTGGATCCACAGGGATTTTATAACTATAGACCAGATTCTTTCAAGAATGTGTTCCCTAGACATCACTGGGAGAGAGAAGAGGCTCAAGGGAGCTGGGGTTTTGCTCCTACATACCTGGAACCTTGTTTCAACCAACACAGCTTAACCTTTGTATATTTATATGTATTGATATTTTCATAAGTTTTCATTTGAATAAAAAGTTCTACTTCTTTTTAAAAAAAAAAAAAACTGTAACTGGCTAGAAGAGACAGTGACTTTCCAACCAGCTTTTCCATGTCATGCTGAGACCAATAGCTTTCACTGAGATCTCTTTTCCTTCCAAAGATCTGTGAGTTCCCATCTTCCAGCCCACTTTCTAATCCAACTTCTGTACCTACATGAACTCCTCAAAAGTCTAGGCTTAGATTTTTAGCAAGCCTAGTACTTTGGTGAGCTTTTCTATATTCAATCTTTCATAAAGAAAAGTCCGTAGCTTACTTTCAAGTATAATATATGACACTATGCTATAAATGGTTATTACTAAATAAAACAAAAACCAATGAAAAAATTATCATTTATATTACATAATGCTATATCAGAAATAAAACAGTTCTTTAAAAGTTGTAAGAATTCCTGGGTCCTCAAAATTTCTAAGTTGAAAGGTGGTGAAGAAATCCTTAATTTTCTTATGTTTTAGGAGGAAATACGTATTGATTTTAGTCTAACTTCTCCTACTCATAATTTCTCCCCTGGAGATTTTTAGAATATTATTTCAAATTCTTTAATCAACAAAAATTCATTTATTTATTCAGCCACTTATAATATATTGCTATAGCACATGTTATGTCCAGTACACAGGTAGACTCTCTGACAATCTAATAATGAATTACTAAAGGCTGATATTTAAAAATTTCTGTTTAATTATCTGAATTTATATTCTATTTTTATTTTTATTTTGCGATCCTATTCCACGATTATCCTTAGTACTTTCGTAAGGAATTGTTAATTTTATTATTTCTAATTATTAGTTCTGGAATTAAGACATCCTTGGAGGGAAGACTGAGCAATCTACTTCCATAGAGATACTGCCTTGGAAACCCAAGAAGGGTCACTATGAGTCTAATTGACTCAATGGCAGTGAGTAGTAGTAGTACTGAATGTGAGCTAATATTCAAGCAGGGTAAAAATACTAGTGCAGCATGAGAACTCCAAGGCCCAAGCTTTACAACTAGTAAAATATAGTTTTTTTTTCCAAAGCTAGGAATAGTGACTTCCATGTTTATTCAACAATTATTTCCAGGTCTTTCTATATGTAAGGCATGTGGTAGATATCACAGCCAACAAAACTGAAAATAACATGGTCCCGGAGGGACCTATGGCAAAATGGGAAAACAGGCAGTCAAGCTACCCAGACACTTAACAAAAAAGAAATGAGAAACCAAATGAAATAGATATAGATGAAATCTTGGAACCCTGAGCGTTGAAGAATAGGGTAAAGAAATAGATCAAACATTAAACTAAAAGAAGAAACTAAATCAACACAGTGAATAAGGAGACAAACGGAGACATGAACTATTAACTGGCCTAACAGAGCAGCCATTTTGAATTTTTGCTCTGATTAGGGCAGAAACCAGATAATTGGCTCCATTTGCTGAGCTCTGCACAGGCACTCACACCTGTAGCTGGTGACCAGAAACCAACCACGTCCATATGACTGAACCACATCCCTACTTCCTGAAGCCCCATCTGCTGGGTGAGGGACACCACCTGCTTCTGCAGCAATAGATGATGGCCAGTACCAGCCCAACCTACCCTTAACTGCTCTATAAGAACAGTTAACACACAACTGTGCACACATTCTCATCCTGTATCACACCCACCAAGGAGCTCTGGTGGTGTAGTACCTAAGGCATTTGAATGCTAACCAGAAGGCTGGTGGTTCAAACCCACCAGCCACTCTGCAGAAGGAAGACTGAACAATCTACTTCCGTAAAGATTTACTGTCTCTGAAACCCAAAGAGAGTTGGAGTCGGGTTGAGTCAGAATCGACTTGATGGCAGTGAGTTTTTTTTTTTTTTTAATTGGTATCACATCTACCAGGAGACAGATGGTGAGTGTCTAAGTGCTGTCAAACAAAAAGAGCAGCACACCAGACCCATTCATTCAGTAATAAAAAAGAGCAGGAGTGGCAATATTAATTTCTTTAAAAATTACAGATTTTAAGGTAAAACCCAGTATAAAAGGCAAGGAAGGACATTATGTAATGATTAAAGGGTCAATTGAACAAGAAGACATAACCCTAATAAACATGTATGCACACAATGAAAGAGCCCCAAAATACATAAATCAAAATTTAACAAAATTGAAAAGAGAAATAGATAACTCCACAGTCATAGTTGTCGTTGTTGTTGTTGGGTGCTGTCAAGTAATCTCTGACTCATAGCGACCGTATGCACAGCAGAACAAAACACTGCCTGGTCTTGTGCCACCCTCATGATTCTTGCTATACCTGAGCAGCTACTGCTTCTATCCATTTCATTGAGGGCCTTCACCTTCTTCGTTGACCCTCTACTTTACCAAGTATGATATCCCTCTCCAGGGAATGGTTCCTTCTGACAACATGACCAAAGTAGGTGAGATGAAGTCTGGCCATTATCGCTTCCAAGGAGCATTCCAGCTGCAGTTCTTCCAGGAAAGATTTGTTAGTCCTTTTAGCAGACCATGGTACTCTTAGCATTCTTCTCCAACACCACAACTCAAAAGGATCAACTCTTCTTCAGTCTTCCTTATTCATTGTCCAGCTCTCACATGTGTAAGAGGCGACTGAAAATACCATGGCTTAGGTTAGGTGCACCTCAGTCTTCAAGGAGACATCTTTGCTCTCCATCACTTGAAAGAGGTCTTCTGCAGCAGATCTGCCCAATGCAATACAATGTCTGACATCTTGACTGCTGCTTCCATTGGTGTTGATTATAGAACCAAGTAATATGAAGTCCTTGACAACTTCACTCTTCCCCATCCACTGTGAAGTTGGACCAGTTGTGAGGATTTTTTGTTTTCTTTATATTGAGGTGTAATCCTCTGGTGTAATCCTCTGGGAGCTCTGGTGGTGTAGTGCCTAAGGCATTTGACTGTTAACTAGAAGGCTGGTGGTTCGAACCCATAAGACACTCCTCAGAAGGAAGGTTGGGTAATCTACTTTTGTAGTGATACTGCCTCAGAAACCCAAGGAGGGGTCGTTATGAGTTAGATCTGACTTGATGGCAGTGAGTTTGGTGTTTTTGGTTTAATTCACACTGAAGACTGTAGTCTTCAATCTTCATCAGTAAGTGTTTAAGTCATCCTCACTTTCAGCAAGCAAGGCTGTGTCATCTGCATATCGCAGGTTGTTAATAAGTCTTCCTCCAACCCTGATGCCATGTTCTTCTTCATATTATCCAGCTTCTCAGATTTGCTCAGTATACAAGTTGAATAAGGATGGTGAAAGGACACAACCTTGACACACTCCCTTGATTTTGAACCATGCAGTATCCCCTTTTGCTGTTCAAACGACAGCCTCCTAATCTGTGTACAGGTTCCTCATGAGTACAATCAAGTGTTC